GATGGAAACACGTCATCGTCTTCATCACCTTCATCACCTACATGTCCCCACTTCTCTCTTTGTATTGATGTTCTGTGTATTGATCACATGTTGTGCTTCTTTCAACACGCTGACACAGAAACATTTTCCCCTCTTCTTCATGTCTCTTCTTCATCAACATGTGTCCCCTCTTCTTCATGTCTCTTCTTCATCAACATGTGTCCCCTCTTCTTCATGTCTCTTCTTCATCAACATGTGTCCCCTCTTCTTCATGTCTCTTCTTCATCAACATGTGTCCCCTCTTCTTCATGTCTCTTCTACATCAACATGTGTCCCCTCTTCTTCATGTCTCTTCTACATCAACATGTGTCCCCTCTTCTTCATCAACATGTGTCCCCTCTTCTTCATGTCTCTTCTTCATCAACATGTGTCCCCTCTTCTTCATGTCTCTTCTTCATCAACATGTGTCCCCTCTTCTTCATGTCTCTTCTACATCAACATGTGTCCCCTCTTCTTCATCAACATGTGTCCCCTCTTCTTCATGTCTCTTCTTCATCAACATGTGTCCCCTCTTCTTCATGTCTCTTCTACATCAACATGTGTCCCCTCTTCTTCATGTCTCTTCTACATCAACATGTGTCCCCTCTTCTTCATGTCTCTTCTACATCAACATGTGTCCCCTCTTCTTCATGTCTCTTCTTCATCAACATGTGTCCCCTCTTCTTCATGTCTCTTCTTCATCAACATGTGTCCCCTCTTCTTCATGTCTCTTCTTCATCAACATGTGTCCCCTCTTCTTCATGTCTCTTCTTCATCAACATGTGTCCCCTCTTCTTCATGTCTCTTCTTCATCAACATGTGTCCCCTCTTCTTCATGTCTCTTCTTCATCAACATGTGTCCCCTCTTCTTCATGTCTCTTCTTCATCAACATGTGTCCCCTCTTCTTCATGTCTCTTCTTCATCAACATGTGTCCCCTCTGTGGAAAGAGACTCTGAAAGTTTCAGGAACAAAGATTCTCTCTCTTTTTGATCCATTTCTATAAAAACCTGTCTGAAAATGAGCTGATCAGATTTTGGCCACTTTATGATGTCATAACGATGTTTTGTCTTGTGTAACCAATCAGCAACCAAGGTTGATTGTATGTTGCGCCTACGGACTGTGTGCTTCAGACGGCGGACCACCACCTTCAGTGTGTTCAGAAACATGATATCTGAGAGGAGACAGAACCTGAATAACATGAATTATCATCAGAGTGAATCTGTGTTCGATGTGAACCGAGGAGTCAGAGCTGCTGTTAGGAATATGTTCAGATTCAAATGCAAGACAACGGTGCCCCACTTCCAGCTGGCAAACACAAATAATTGGATACAATTTGAATTCAAAATGTCTCCGTAAGCCTTTTATCCTTTCCACCACAAATGATTATAATCCAAGAGTCAGACAGAGTTCAAAGTGGGAGAGGAAGAGGATGAAGAGACAGACGGTAATAACAGCAAAGAGACGCTGACCTGGTTTTATTTGACAGGAAGTTACAGGAGGAGCAGGAACTTCCATTAGAGACTCAAACAAGGAGGTTTAAAGCAGCCTATAGGAGACTCAAGATGACCTCAGAGACTCAAGATGACCTCAAAGACTCAAGATGACCTCAAAGACTCAAGATGACCTCAAAGACTCAAGATGACCTCAAAGACTCAAGATGACCTCAGAGTCAAGATGACCTCAGAGTCAAGATGACCTCAGAGACTCAAGATGACCTCAAAGACTCAAGATGACCTCAAAGACTCAAGATGACCTCAGAAGTCTCAAAAAGACTTCAAACGAGTACAGAGAGACTCAAAACTACATTCAAAAGAGACATAATGACCTCCAAGAGACTAATAAACAACAACAACAACAACAAAGAGACTCAAAACAAGGAGGTTTAAAGCAGTCTATAGGAGACTCAAAACAAAGTCAATTATTCAAAATGACCTCAAAGACTCAAAATGACCTCAAAATGACCTCAAAGACTCAAAATGACCTCAAAGACTCAAGATGACCTCAAAGACTCAAAATGACCTCAAAGACTCAAAATGACCTCAAAGACTCAAAATGACCTCAAAAGACAACAAACGAGTACAGAGAGACTCAAAACGACATTCAAAAAAGACATAAAGACGTCCAAGAGACCTATAAACAACCAGAGTCCAACCAAAAACAAAGAGATGAAAAGAACTCACACAGGTTATAAAGGAGATGATAATGAACTCAAAGAGACTCACACAGGTTATAAAGGAGATGATAATGAACTCAAAGAGACTCACACAGGTTATAAAGGAGATGATAATGAACTCAAAGAGACTCACACAGGTTATAAAGGAGATGATAATGAACTCAAAGAGACACACACATCATCAAAAGGACCACAAAGAGTCCAAACACAGCCTCCAAGATGCTCAGAGTGACTTGAAAAAGACCCAAAAGTGGATCTGGTTCCGCCTGTCGATGTGGAAAGTAATAAAGCTTCAGTCTCTGCCCTGTTTCATCACCCTCATAAATAGAGATGCAACTCAACCTGAGCATCAGCTTGAAGCCTTGATGCACAGCGAGAAAGCTAAAAGACGATCGAGTTTAATCTAAAAATACATCGAGTTTTATTTCTGTTGTTTTTAAACGTATTCATGACGAATACGACCGTTTGAAAAAGGTATCGACGTGTTGACAACTGCGTACAATCTCAAAGCTCTGGTGGTTAGAAGCAGTCGGTGTGTGTGTGTGTGTGTGTGTGTGTGTGTGTGTGTGTGTGTTTATCTGAGGCCTGAGATATGACTCAGAAAGGTTTAAAGTGCACTGAAACAAATCAGTGTTCATGTCAGAGTGTGTGTGTGTGTACATGTCAGAGTGTGTGTGTGTGTGCATGTCAGAGTGTGTGTGCATGTCAGAGTGTGTGTGTGCATGTCCGAGTGTGTGTTCCTGAGTGCTGCTGAGTGGGCAGAACCTGATGAAGGTCGGTCGTATAAAGAGTAAAAAATGACGCTTCAGACACTCTGCAGCGTCGTAAGTCTGCATGAGAGTTGGAAACAACTCACACACACCCACACCTCACACACACACACACACACACACATCAAAACAGATAATTACAAATTACACGCCTCTCGTTGCTATGGCACTTAGACGTTGATGTTTCAATCATCAGTCAGATCTCTAACAGAGTGCAGGGAACATATTTAACTCTTTACCCGAGTCCCTACGTACGGAACTGAATCAGAGGTTACATCACGATAGAAACGCTCACGCTCCTATTGGCTAGAAATAATAATAATAATACAAATCTGACCATTTTTTTTCTTCTATAAATCTAATCTGACTGATTTTTTTCTGACATTTTTAAGAATTCTGACTTTTTAAAATAAATTCTGACTTTTTTCTGGAAATCTCAACATTCTGACTTTTCCCAACATTTTTAGAATTCCCAAATTCTAACTTCTTCCTCCAACACATTGTACGTGAGAGGCAAAGGGGCGGGACATCTCTAAGCTGGTTGACCAATCACAAGAGAGCCGACCAGCTAAACAATCAGAGCAGACCGGGCTCTGGTTTCAGACAGAGGGTGAAAAGAGGTGCTGCAGAAAATAACTTTCATAATGTCTGATATTAAAGCTGTCAAATAACAAGGATTAAACTCAGAAAATTGGGTGAATTAACAAGAAATAGATATGCATAGTAAGTCACACATTAAAATAAAAATGATATATGTTAAAAATAAAGTCAGAGATTCAGGTTAGTCTGAAGTAAATCCTAA